TTGAAGAGGTGTGTGTTTACCTTGTTCCCAAACACACGGCTGCCCAGGACCTTCCTATTGATAGTGCCATCTTTATGGAGAATATCTGGGTGACAGAGGAAGAAAGCTAAGCAAAGAGGTCAAGCCATCTTCTCACCTCAGGCCACTTGCAGCCTTCTCCCGTCAGTACCTGTTCCAAAGGCCTCTACCACAGGCTGGTAGGCAGGGCCCCCAGGAGCGTAGGCCCGATGGCCCAGATGGTCACTGTCAATGATGTATGCTCCCAGGTTCTTCAGCCGCTGAGCCACTGAGCTTTTCCCAGAGCCGCTGATGCCTGTCAGCCCGAGCACATAGAGACTGGAAGGGAGCTCCGGCCTCTCCTAGAGAGAAGTAAGAGGGAGCCTTGGTGACCAGGGAATTAAAAAACTCAGCTTCCAATGGAGGGCCTGTTTCTATCCGTCAGCATTTCACCACATCTAACCAGTGAGGAGGAAGAGAGGCTCACATTTGGAGGTTGAAGCAGGTTTCCCAGGATCCGCTGGCGAAAGCTGGAGGAGCTGACCTTGTCCTCCTCGTTTTCATTGTGACTCTGGTCCTTCAGCAGTTGTATCTGGTATAAGGCAAGTTCCTCTTTGCCCTTAGGTAAAGGGAGGAGGAGGAAAGGAGTAAGAGATAGGAGAATGAATCTGGAGCCCCAGCCTGACCTTTACCCACCCCTTCCTCTTCCAACTCCACAGACAAGTCCCTGAACCCTCCCTTCCCTGCTCTGGTACCATAGTACTTCTCACAGGCCTCCTCCTCCCACCCCCTCTGCCAGTCTCCTTCAGGAGTTACATTCTCAAGGCGGAAGCGGTTGACGGCCATCCCCCCACGGTAGGTCTCCTCGCTGACCACCAGGAACTCCAAGGTGGGGTCAGACCCAGCAGGCCCATAGGGATCCAGCAGAGGGACGAGTTCAAAAGTCAGGGAGGGCTTGATGTCCACTAGGAACTCAGTCAGATGCTCCACACGCTCTTCATAAGGCTGGAGCAGCTCGGGGAGCAACTTACCTGAGGAAGGAGGGAGGAACAACAGTGAGATCTCTCACCGGGGCAGATGTGCTGGCCCATTTGGGGAAGAGTATCCCACAGCACTGAAATCTTCCCAAGCAGAGGCAGCAAGAAAGGGTGAAACAGGGACAGGTTTGGGGGACAGAAGGGGGAGAAACAAGCATCAGTCACTGTGAGGGCTGGCATGTAACCCGAGAACAAGCTAAGACATGCCCACAGAGCAGCAGTACCAGTAGGTTTCAGCAGGTGGAGAACCCCAAGAACTACTCTATTCTAGAGTCCCCTCACCACCCATGGCAGTACTGGGTCACCCACAATCATGTCCTATCCATCTATCCTCAGCATTTCAAACCTCCAGTTGGTCACTCGGACAACCATGATGTGCAGATTTCTTGGTTCCCATTTGGAAAGTTCTAACTTCGGTAAAGGTGACTGAGCCACACACTAAGGCTACCACATGTATTCATTTAGCAAAAAGTCTCTTAACAATAACAGAGTGTCAGGCATTGTGACATTTTACAAGTGTGAGAAACAGCCCTACCCTTCCTTGATCCTGACATTGGGGAAGACAGGAAAACGTGAAGGGAGCCGGGCGGTGGTGGTGCAAGTCTTTAATCCCAGCACTTAGGAGGCAGAGGCAGGCGGATTTCTGAGTTCGAGGCCAGCCTGGTCTACAGAGTGAGTTTCAGGACAGTCAGGGCTACACAGAGAAACCCTGTCTTGAAAAAACAAAAAAAGAAAGAAAACATGAAGGGCATCCTCCGTTGCCCTAACCCGGGTCCCTTCACTCACTCTTCAACAGATCTTTGTCCGCTACCCCCACCACGAGCTGCTCCTGGGCCAGTACACATGCAACACTGAGCAACACTTTGTGGGCATTGTGCAAGCGGTCAAAAGTGCCACCCACAGCCCCACGGTGGTAGCCACGCACAGGCTGCCTTGGAGATCTGGCAACTGGAGAAGCTGGCCTTATGGTAGAGGGTAAGAGGGCATTCGGAGGTTCCAAAGGCAGCTCTCCAGTCCCATAATCCGGATATAGCAACACAGAAGACAACTGTGGAGAACAGCTGTAACAGCTGGTGGCATAACGCTCTAGCTGTTGTTTAACCGGGTTGTACTGGCTCCCATCCAGGGTCTGGAAGTCCGTCAGAACTACTTCTGGAGGGTGGGCCAGATTCTGGACTGAGGACAGCACAGGGAGAAAGGTGCTCTTGGTTTGGATATTGGTCAGTAGAATTCTGACGTCCAGGTGCCTGTGCAGGTCGGCACCAGTGTAGAGGTGTGTGATGAAATCCAGAACCTCAAACGTGGCCTGCACAGGGCTGGCCTGGGGCTGAGCGGGTCCCCCCAGGTGCATGCCCGGCTGCAGGTGCACATAGAGGGTGTGATTCACCAGGCGGGACGCCGAGGTCAGGATGGGAGGCAGGCGTGAGGCCAGGGTGGCCAGCGGCGTTGTCAGCACCAGGAGGCCTGAGCGGAATACGGCCATGCTATCCAGGCCTGCAGACAGTCAGGGAGACAAGCGAGAGTGACTAGGCGGGCTGAGGCCGAAGCCTGCAGGGGAACTCGGACTCAGGAGGAGGGACCTGGAGCAGGGCAGGGGGCCGCTCGCTGATAGAAATCGGAATCCTGGCAGGGGGAACCGGCCAGGAACCCCTGAGTCATAGGATTGGGGTTTCAGGAATCCTAGCTCCTCTTGCTAAGCTGAACCGGCATCTGTGAAGACTCGGAGACGGGGACTAGAGGGGACGCTGTGGCTCGGGCTGCTTCCCTACTCACTGAGTTCTGGGGATTCTGCTTCTACTTACACCGCCGTGGAGGCGTCCTAGGCTGCGGCCCGGAAGCACTACCCTCCAGCCTCAAGGCACGCAGCTGCAGCTACGGGAACTCAGAGCAATCAAACAATGCAACCCCGAGAGACTTCAGGGCGGGGCGCGGTGGGGCGGGGCTGAGCGCCGAGCCTTTGGGGCTAAGGGAAACCCTGGCGCCGGATCCACTTAGAGGAAGCGGGCAGAGCAGGCTGCAAAGCTAATTTTGTGGATTCCTGGTGTTCTTTGCTTCCTCCAGTTTGCCAGGAGGTGGTGACAAAGCCAGGACCGGGGACAGTCGGATCGCTTTGCTGTGCTTGCTCTGGGCCAGCGTTCCCAGCGAAGCTACTGGACATCTCTACCCACATCCCCATTCCAAAGACACGGGAAATTGGTTTTCTGAGTGTTTTGGGACACCTAGACGCGAAGTCTGGTGCTTTCTACAGAATTCTCTGGGCGTCATGTAACCTTGTGCTTAGGTTTGCAAGGAGATAGTTCAGCAGTGCTTCGGGGATCACTGGCCCCGGGTCGGGGGGCGGGGGGGGGGAGGAAGAAGACCTAGGGGTCAGGATTCGCGGAGAAGTTAATGAGGACTGGAAAGTTAAGTTGGTAGTCGCGGGCATGGAGGGAAAGCCAAACGCCCATCAGAAAACATGTCAGATCCACGGAGATAGCGGAAAAAGAAAGCAAACTAGCCTCAAGATTCCTGTAAAGGACCGACCACTGATGTGCGACCCCAGAAGCATTGCTGCGAGTTTGAGATCAGCCTGAATTATATAAAGAGGTCCTGGACTGGGGGTGGGGTGGGGGACGGGAGTGCTGCAGCCAGACAGGAGGAGAGGAGACACTTGTGCTGTGGTCCAGAAATTTGACTTGAAAAGTTACTTGTAAAGTAACTAATTTGTTAAGGAATCGAACTTCTTGCAGGAAACAATCCAAACTGGATTTTAGAGAGGATTTTAAGGGAGCCAAAGCAAGTGTTAGTCTTACATTTGGCACAGTTACATTTTTTATTTGCTTAGTGTTTTTTTTTAAAAACAGAATCTCACTATGTAGCCTACACAGCTTTTATTCAGTGAGTGTCTATTTAGTGTGCTGTTCAAGGTAGAAAGGAGAGAACAAGGTCACTGAAGTTGATTCCTGAAGGGCTTGTGATGGGATGAATACATAATAAGCCCAGAATACATCTGGTGGTGATCAGACACTAAAGATGAAAACAGATGGAAAGACCCCTGCTGGAGTAGAAGGGGTACTTTTTTAGGTTGGGTGGCTTAGGAAAATAGCAAAGACCTGACAACCCAGTACAATCATAGACCAGGGAAAGCGAACCAGTTAAAAGACTAGTGTCAAAGCCAGGTGATGGTGGCACACACCTTTGATCTCTGCACTCAGGAGGCAGAGAGGCAGGCAGAGTTTAAGGCCAGCCTGGCCTACAGTTCCAGTTCCAGGACAATCAGAGCTACAGAGAAACCTTGTCTCAAAAAACAAACACAAACAAACAGCAACAAAAACAACTGTCAGTGAAGCTTTTAAGGAGGCCGTGAGATCAAAAGTGTATACAAGAATAGAAGAGAACGGATACAGGGACTCATGGAGAAAGCCCAGAGAACCCCATTCTGATCCCCAGAACCCAGGTGTTCTCTTGGTGTCCTCTTGTAATGCCAGCACTAAGGCGACAGAGACCTAGGATTCTTGGGTGCAAACTGTTAGTCTAGACAAGCTGGAATCATAAGTTCCAAGTCTAGCGAGTCAACAAATAAGGAGTGAGTCAAGACTCCTGACTTTGACTGTGGACCTTGACACATGCACACACATATCTACACACAGACCTGCCCCATAAACACGGGAACACATGATTATGTGTTAGTTGTAGGGATCCCAAGCCTGGCCCTAGTTCCACAAGGGGAGGACACAGCATTAGACATTTCAGTCATTTTCAGCAACATAGTAGGTTCAAGATCAGCCTGGGCTACATAAGACACTATTCAACAAAAATCAGTGGTAGTTTGTTAAAGCCTGTCCCAACTTGCTGGCTTCTGGGTTAGAAGCACTTACAGTTCAAGCCTGAAGACCTGAGTTCAATCCCTGAACCCCATGGTGGGGGAGGTAACAAACGTGTCATCCGATCTCCGTACTCTGTGCGGCAATGGAACAGGTCCCCCTCCACATCATGTATGATAATTATTTATTGAAAGAAAAACCCCTTAACCTAGCAACTTGGATATCAGCCCTCTTTTCTTGACCATGAAGACGGTTGCACTATTTCAATGATTCTGAGAAGTGTGTGGTTGCACACACCTAAGGTTCCAGCACTCAGGAGGCAGAAGCAGGTGGATCTTTATGAGTTACAATCCAGACAGGGCTATAGTGAGACCCTGTCTTAAAACAAAACATATTCTAACATAAGAAAAAAAAAAAAGAGACGCTGGCTTAGATCTTTTGCTGGTAACATGATTTGTCCTGACCTGGTTTGTCCGAGGCTGACCACCCCAATTCAGATGCCACCCTAGGGGTTGCACATTCAGGGAGATAAATGAGGGCTCTGGAGGCCGTGTCCGGGTCCCCTGGGACTTGGGCCCAAGCTTTGGCATACTCTTGGGCCTGCAGATCAGAGAAGGCCTCGCGGTGTATGGCTGCGACATAGCTGCTGCCACTGGGATCCTCTGTGCGCATCCGGGCCAGCGGCAGGAAGCGGTTCGTGGAGAAGTAGCGCAGCGCGGGCTGCGGGGCTCTCATTGCAGTCAAGAAGACCTAAAGCAGGCAAGAGCAGCATGTGTCTGCAGGGCACCCCTGGAGGATCATCACCACGCCTCACCCAGAGACTGCGCCCCGAGACCTCGTTTGCACCCACCTCAGTCACCTCCTCTGGGTCCTGCGCCTGGCTCAGGGCTTGCTGGTATCTACGCAGGTAGTGCGCAAAGAGGTGGCGGGTCTTCGCATCTGCTCGCTCCAGAGCCCCGCCCGGGCCGCCCTCCAGCTTCTCATAGAAGGCTGTGTGCACTGCCCCACACTCGATGAGGCTCACACTGAGGGGAAGGGGAAGGAAGGGGAAGCGGTAGAGGAAGGGGAAGGGGTGGATGGCAACAGCGACTGGTTAGTGGCGGGGACCACAAGCTTGACCCTAGTTCCGCAAAGGGAAGGGGCTGAACGCTGGTAGCGGATGCTGGCAGAACCACAGCGCTTGCAGAGCCGGAGTGCTGCTAGGGAAGGGCTCCCATGTCCATCTTAGGTCCAGTCACCTACTCGCTCTGTTTACGCATCCCAGTATGCCTTAAGAGCTAGAGTGGCTCGTGAAAGGAGATAACCTGTGCCAAGCGCCCTGCATAGTATCTAGCATACAACATGAGTGGGAAAAGGAGGGCCAGAGACAGATCTGTTAGATCTGGTGCTGGGGTTCACAAGCTTCAGAGTGTCCTGGAGGGCTGGTAACTCACTGGACTCCAAAGAGCGGCAGCAGGATCGCCAGACTCTCGCAGAGACCTTCGAGCGCAAACTTGCTGGCACAGTACACTTCGTGGAATGGCAGCCCTAGAAAGGGAGACACGGTTTCAGAGGCCCTGCGGTTCCTCACTGTACTCTGAACCCCTTTCTTTGTCCCTTTTGCTCACCCATCAAGCCTCCCACACTCGCGGTCACCAGCACACGCCCGGAGTGGCGCCTCTTCATGTCTGGCAGAAAGGCCTGCAGCATCCGAATGGTCCCAAGCACATTCACGTCCAGCACAGCACCCACAGTGTTCAACTCATGCGCTTCCAGCGGCCCGAACAAGCCGCGACCAGCATTACAGACTGAGGGGAGAGACAACAGACCCCACTTGTGCACCGCTCTCTCCCCTCCCCCGTCATCCTTCCATGCTCTCTGAACTCCGGACACAGTTTGGACACTGGACTCCTATCACATGTTTCAGGGAGGCTCACCCAGTACATCCACACGACCCTCAGTCACGCATGCCTGGGCAGCTGCCACAGATTCAGATTCTCTGACATCCAATTCCAGTATCTCTAGGGAGCCAGGAGGGCATCCTTTAGCCCTGGCTGCCTCCAACAATGGTCCCTGTGCCTTCAGGTCCCGCAATGTGGCATAAACTAAAATTGGGAGAGGACAAAGATTCATCATTCTGCTTACCTCTAGAGGCTCTCCCCTGGCCTCCAGGCCTTTCCCCTCCTATACCTTTGAAGCTCTGGGACCGGTCAGAAGCCAGACGAACAGCCAAGTGTAGGCCGATTCCAGAGGAGCAACCGGTAATGAGCACTACTGTGGGGTCCATGTGGAAAAGGACTGACGCTCAGAGCCCGAAGGGTCCTAGTGGCAGGCTAGGGCTGGGTATCTGCTTGGCTCTGCTACTGCCCACGGTGTCCCCACCCCTTGTTGTGTCTGCTGGCAATCTCAAGGCTGAGTTGGGTCCCTGACAGGCTTTCCCCAACCTGGTGTGGGTCAAAGCACGAGAAAAGGGTGTTGTTTATAAAACCAAACTACCTTAGTTGGTCAGGGGAAGGGTGCTCTACAAAGTAGCAAGCTCTGTATAGTGGTAGCAGCTGATTGTCAGGTTCAAACTGAGCAGTGCTAGGCAGATCTGACCACAGGGAAAACGCTTCTGTTCACAGAACTTCCTGTTTGGTTTTGAGACAACCAAGTAGACAAGGCTGGCCTCATACTCATAGAGACCCATCTGCTTCTGACCCATGAACGCAGGGATTAAAGGCAAGGGCCTCATTTTTAGCTTTTTGGAGACAAGCTGGCTACCTTGTATACCCTAGGCTACCTTCAGACTCATTATGGAGCTGAGGTTGGCCCTGAACTTCTGATCCTCCTGCCTCTACCTTTTCAGGGTTGTTATTCCAGGTACGTACCACCACACTCTCAGAGACAGTTCTGACTACCAGCTTGCTGCTATACGCCTTCTAAGGTTGGGGACCAGTATTAAAATGGAGCTGAAGTGAGGGCTGGGAAGAACCATCTCCACACCAGGGTCCCCATGTGCACCTGAGCCCTTCCAGGCATGCCAGCAATGTATGGTACTTTAATTTAATAGACCCAGGCGGATTCAGCAGTTTATTGTTCATAGAGAACGGTACTTTAATCCCCAAGTCTGGGATGGAAGAAAGCACCTCGTTTCCCTCCAAGCCATTACTGTCACTCACTGTCAGACCCTGGCTCCTTCTCCCAGGCATGGGAGCAGCCTGTACTTGTTTGGAGTTGAGGACCTATTCCAGCAGGTCCCTGAGATGGCTGTGCTGTCACAAAGAGTCAGGCTGGGGGTGATATTTGAGGAAGATCTTCTTGGAGAGGTCCACAGTGTCCCCTTGGGGCTGACTGGGATACCTCTTCTTGTTGTTAATGAAAGCCTGCTCTAGTGGGAAAACATTCTTCTCAAACTGGTGCTGTTGGAAGGGGACACCTCTGGCTAGGCTGTGAGCCAGAGTCCCCAAGAAGAGGCACCAGCGTGGCTGGTAGTAATCAGCCACCAGTCCTGCCAGTTGCTTATTGGCATAGTCCAAAATGTTACCCTCAGGCCCCCAAAGGGTAATCTGGTAGCGGCTGTTTTGTTCATAGAACCGGGCCTCAGCCTCACTCACAGCCACTTCCCGGGCCTGATCCAACCAGGTACCCAGCAGGAAGTGGCTGCTGCTAGCCAGCAACTCATCTAGTGAAGGCAGGAGCTTATAGGCCAGGAGGCCTCCAGCCCTGAGCAGGAGATCAAGCTCCTGGTTCAGGTAGGCGGTCCGTGCCTCCTCATAGCACAGGCTGACCAGCTCCTGCACTGCTTGGCGGGTGACGTCCAGCAGGTCATAGCGGAAGGCTGGGCTGGTGGTCAGGTTTGGAGCAGCTGTTAATAGCAGTCGCCAAGCCTCAAATATATCTGATCTGTTGTACCAGACAGCAGTACTCATCTGTAGGGATGGCCGCTTGACCAGCGGGCTTCGATTGTGCCCAGTGCACGCCGCCCCAGAGCAATTGTAGACACTCCTAAGTAGAAGCCTCCAGGCTGCCACTGCATCCGGCTGGGAGATCCCATATCGGCGGCTGGCAAAGCTGCTCACCCAGGCCATCAAATCTGGCACAGGGTCCTTGCGCCAGCCCAGCTCAGCCATGAGAGCATAGACCACTTCATTCTGGCCAATGCCCTCAGGGGCTATGCCGGTGCCAACCATGGTAGAGTTGGGGAAGAGGCGGGCTGCCTGGGGGCCCCGGTTCACATCCTCCAGGGCTCCAAACAGGCCATGGTTGCCCCCAAAGTTGTGGAGCATGCACCAGATGAAGGGCTGGCCATGGAAGGAGGCTGTACGCATGTAAACAGGCTGGTTCTCAGCAAACAGGTCCAGAACCAGGAGACGGCCACGGGGCACGGCCTCCAGCACAGCCCGGATTTGAGAGGGGCCCCAGAACTGGGGTTGGTGCTGGAAGAGCCAGCCTTGGAGCAGCCAGACAGCATCAGGGTCCACTATGGTGGGGAGAAGACAGAGAGAGGCAATGAGAGAAGTGGTTTTGTTGAGGAAATCGGGCGATTGTGACAGCTCACACCATCCCCCATGACTGATCTACCTGCCATTCTGCCATCACCGGGGCTCCTCTGTCTATCTGCCTCCCGAAACTCCAGGACACTACTGATCTAGCTTCTTAGATATCAGAGCTACCCAGAGAAATGAAGACATGGATGCCTGGCCCCAAATACTGGACCTGCCCATCAGGACATCCAGGAGTTGGGTCTGAGAATCCTTATATCCAAATACTGGCATATTTGGGTTTGCATAAAGCTTTAATGGTTTCCCAAGGGCTCAAGATTAAAGGTTAAAGTTCACACCTGATCTCCATGGTGAAATAAAAAAGATCAAGACTTGGGCCTTTGAGAAGCTCAGCTAGGAATGGTATTTCGTGCTAGACCTGATAACCAGAGTTCTACTCTCGAGCTCACATCCTGGAAGGAAACAACAGACTCCTACAAGCTATCCGATGCCTTCCATATGTACACCAGGTGTGACACACGTGCACACATGCAAATAAAAAAATAAAAAAAATGTAACTTTCAATTAAAAGAACAAAGGCTCTAAAAGCAGCTGTTCTCAACCTGTGAGTCTGGACCCCTCTGTGGGTCAAATGACCTTTTCCCAAGGGGTCACATAGCAGATGTCCTGCACACCAGATATTTACATTATGATTCATAACAGTAGCAGAATTCCAGTTATGAAGTAGAAATGAAGTAATTTTATGGCCGGGGGGTCACCACAGCATGAGGACCTGTATTAAAGGGTCTCAGTATTAAGAAGGTTGAGAACCTCTGCTCTAGACCAAGGCTCAGGCTGCAGAGTGCTGCTCAGAGGAGCATAATCCAATGTGTTCCTCTCTTTCAAGGATGACAGGGCACCTCTCAGAGGACCCTCTTCCAATTGGGCCCCTTCTCCTCTATAAGTGGTAGAAAGGAGTCTTGGCCTCACGTCTGTGTGACAGGATACACGTGTAACCTCTGGCCCACACGACCTACTTTAACAATGAGGCGGAGAACAGACACATTTTCGTTGTTACCGGGCAGTGGTGCCACTCACCTTTAATCCCAGCATTTGGGAGGTAGGGGCAGGCAGATCTCTGAGTTTGAGGCCAGCCTGGTCTACAGAGTGAGTTCCAGGATAGCTAAGGCTACACAGAAAAAGCCAGTCTTGAAAAATAAACAAATAGAAAAGCAAAAAAAAAAAAAAAATTTCTGTTTTGAGACAGGGTTTTTCTATACCGCCTTGGCTGTCCTGATATTCTCTTCGTAGACTAGGCTGGCCTCAAATTGATAGAGATCAGCCTGCCTCTACCTTCTGCATGCTAAAATTAAAGGCATGCGCCACCATGCTTGGCTCCAAATAAAAACGTGAAGATGATGGTGATGATGACGGTGACTGTTGTTCATGTGTACGACGTGTACATGTGGAAGTCACAAGACAACTCTGTGGAGCTGGTTCTCTCCGTCAATCTTTTTGTGGGTTTCATGGATCAAACTCAGGTCATTAGATTTGAGTGCCTTTGCTCGCCAAGCCATCTCCTTGCTGCCACCACCCCGTTTTGAAGTAGTTCAGGGTCTCAAGTAGCACAGGCTGGCCTTAAACTCCTGATTCTTCTGCCTCTACCTCTCAAGCACTGGTGTTACAGACATACGCCACCATGCCTGGCTTAAAATCTTTTCCATTAGGTTGTACTCAGTGACTTTTTTTTTTTTTACAAGGCCAGGCATCCTGGTCCATGAGCAAGCCCCACTGCACAAACACCAGGAGGTGTTTGTGAAGCAACAAACACCAGGAGGGAAAGAATATGCCCAAGGTCATAGGTCACCGGCCACTGGGAACCCAGTGTTGTTAAGTAGGATGGCATATGTGCACAAAGGCCTGTTGAGCAGGAAAGCATGGTGTCACCTGGATACAGGTCCTTCTCCTACCCAGCCTCCCTCCCTGATGTTTCAGTGGGTTTCCTATCCCAAGCACCATACCAGTGGCCATGGCTTCATAGACGGCTGCGGTGGCAGCAGCGAGGTAGGCGGGGTCGGAGAAGGGAGGCTGCATCTCATTGAAGGTGTCAGCCCCATAGATATGATCTGTGCCAAACTCCTTGGTCAGCTCCCGTAGGAAGAGGTTCCCGATGAGGGGGAACACGGGGTCTCCTGGAGCCAGAAGGAAGGAGCAACTGTAGGAGCAGTTGAAATGTCCCCAGCTCCCCAACTGGATGACATTGGCCTGTGGAAACACCCTAGGGAGAGAAAGGTTTAGAGCTGATAGAGGCTGATACAGTGCTTGTCTTGGCATTACACCCCTCACCAGCCTCACATCTGTGGCCTTCTGGACGGTAACTGGGTTTCTCTCATCCCCATGCTTATGGATGCTCTGTCCCCTGCCTGGTACCCTTCCCTCCACGCCTACGCTTATCCACCTGGTTCTTCCTCACTGTCCCTGAGGGTCATCTGTCTAAAAAGCTTCTGCTATCTCCCTCTGCCAATGATCTCTCTGGTTAGGGACAGAGCCACGGGCACACAAGGGCATCCCCAGGGCCTAGCACAGGACTGGCTCTGACATTTGTAGAGACCTGGGCAAATGTTCACCGAATGAAAAGAATGACGTTCCCACAGCTTGGTGAGCAAGATGGAGGAGGAGTGGCGGGTAGCCAGCAGCTGGCAGCACACGCTGTGACAGAGGTGGGACGCAGATGCTCCCAGGTGTGACAAGGGTTCTTGCAAGTGTTGGCTGGCAAAGCTTCACAAAGGAGGAGAAGCCTCATCCAGACCTTGAAGGTCTCTCTCCAGCCACAGAAGAGAAGACAGTTCAAAAACAAGGACAGAGCAGCACACTCCCTAGGCCACCGACAAGAGCAGCTGCTTGCTAACGTCTGTGCCTGGCAATATGCACACTCAGGCCAGCAGGTGAAGGAGCTATCTGGTTACTGAGTAATTCTTCATTCCTTTTCTTTAAATATTCCCTAATTAAATAATTATATATTTATATATAACATATATAAATTATTCACACACACACATAATAAAGTTAGAGACTGAAGAGATAGCTCAGCAGTTAAGAGCACTGGCTGCTCTTCCAGAGGACCCAGGTTTGATTCCTAGCCCCTACATGGTAGTTCACAGCCATCTGTCACTCCAGCACCAGGACA